TAAAATGAAAACTCTGTTTTCAATTTATAGATTTGGATGATAAATAAACTGAGCTGTCCTTGGCTGTAAAAGTTTGACGATATTTACATTTTAAGTCTACATTTTCCTCAGTGTTGACAGCGATTGACATACTTCTGCTAATGGCGGCAGCCAACTTGTAATATATTCCCACGCCATTCCATGACGAAAACTAACAAACACACACACCCACACACACACACAGATATAGAATACACACTCATGGCCACATTTACAGCACAACACAATTGCACGTTTGTGTTTTTAGATTACAGCATTGTCTAGCTGCCTTGTGTGCATTATAGTATGAACTATATCTTAATGCACACACACACACACACATACTATATATATATATATGTATGTGTGTTTGGTTGTTTGTCTGTATCTGGTTCAAGTAGTGGCAAGCAGCATTCCTTGTCTATGGCTTTATTTTACTATGCATCTCCCTCTCACTCTCCCATCTCTCTCTCTCTCTCTCTCTCTCTCTCTGTGTGTGTCTCTTGGCTGCTTTTTACGGCACGGTTTTGCGGCCATCATAAAGCGGCATAAAGAAAGGAGCAGGCAGGGCAGCAAGCAGCAGCGCCAGCAAAATGAAACCAAAAGCGCAGCGCAGTAAAATGAAGTCTAAAACTAAATCCCACATAAGGTACGAACGTGCTCAACACAAATGCCAGGTGCTTATTTTTACACGTCACTGTTCGTTGGCTGCCTTGTTTACTTGACTGGATTTTTACAGAGCGCCAGCTATTTGTAGCAGAGCGTTTTGTTGTTTCTACACACACACACACACATATATACTTATACATATATATATATATATATCTATACAAATACATTGACATTTACATATAGAAGTAGTACATACATTGTGCGGCAAAGTTGATGTGCTCGAACAAAGCACTGAGAAAAGTTGCCAATGGCCAAAGCTAAATGTAAGCCAACAGGCAGTTGGCGCTCACATCTTTTGCCTCTTTTGCATATGGCCCGAACGCGCTCAACTGGAAGCTGTTAAATATCGAACACACATTTCCACAGCAGTCTCAGTCTCAGCTAAGTTCGGTCCGCTTGCGAATAGACCCTGAATCTGGCTTTGGCAAATGGGTCCGAGATTTGTGTAAAAGTTTGTGCTGGCCGTAGCAGATAAGCCTGATGCATATGCCACCAAAGGCAAGCTTAAAGCCAAGCGACTGCTAATGCACCTTAAATTTAACACACATATGCGTAATTAAAGCCCAAACACACTGGCAACCCTAATAAGGCTTTATATATCCCATTTACACTGAACTAAACTGCGCCAACTTTGAAGATAGTCTTGTAGCAACTTTTGAATGTTGACACTGTTAAGCTAATGCCTCAGGTAGTCAACGTAATTCGTTTTAGTACTTCTGGCCCATTTGATTCTAAGATTACCTATTTAAATGTGCCTAGTGCAAAGACTAAATTTGATGTAAACATATTTATTGCATCAGTAAAAAGTAATTTTAAAACGAAATTGACCGTATTAAAAGAGAGTAATAATTAAATTAGATTTTGAGATTTAATGGGAATCAGTAAATCAGAATGCAAAATGAATTATTGAAATCGAATATATCAAAATTTGCTTTGGAATGTTGTACATAAATTGTTGCCAAAATGTACGTCTTAAATCTCTGAGATTACATGAAAAGGAACTATGAAAAAGTTAAATTTAAGCTGGGAAATCGAAATCAGACACACAAATCAGAATGCCAGAGTCACTTATGAAACCCACTGGCAAGCAGTCGACTTAGAGTCAGGACAGTTCTCTCCAGACTCCAGGTGGCGCTGGCAGGTCAAGCTGAAATCTGTCAACACCTGCTGCTGCCACTGGCATCGCAACGACGTCAGTTGGCTTCATATATAAACTGATTTTCTACTGACAACATTTGGTAGAGAAATGGGTTTTTGTTGTCCTTGTCCTTGGAATGCTGCTTGCTTGCCACAATGGCATTTGTCTTAATAAAGTTGACTTTGCCACTGCTGTTGCCATTTCTAAGCCGTTAAGTTTGCAGCAGGAGCAAAGTTGTCTGGGAATTTGGCGGCTATTGTTAAACGTTGCAAGTGCTTGGAGTCCAATCATTGTAAAATTAACGCAATAAAAAATGATGCACTACTGAGAACGAGTGCGAGAGAGAGAGAAGCAGGCAGCATGTAAAGTAAAATCAAATAAAAATTAAGTGCTGGCTCAGTTCGTCTGGAAAAACCAAACCAAACCAGAGCAAAGCAGAGCAGATTCGTGTGCGGCATGCAAAACGCAGATAAGACTGTTTTCCACTGTAAAATAAGAGGAAGAAAAATTGTGGCGGCTGCTGAGTGTGGGAGTGGTAGCCAAGATGTATAGCTGGGCTGCTTTTGGGTGAGTTGGGCTGCTTTGGCACCAAGTCATTTACATGCCCACAAAAATACGGCAATGAACGACGCAGGCAAAACAAAAAATGTTGGCCAGGATATGATGGTGAACTGCGAGACGCATGACTGCGTTTGCTGGCCATTCACTTAACTGAATGGAATACTTTTGCTGAGCCTACACACACCCACACCCTCCGCTCACACACAAACACACACAGATACACAGCATTCGCCAGCTAACCCAAAAAGCGATTTGGAGTAAGCCCCCAATGCTTCAAGTCGAATGCATTGGCCATATGCAGAGCAGAGCAGAGCTGAGCAGAGCTGATCGGAGCAGAGCTGAGCTGAGCGGAGCGAACACAGAGAAGGTGTGTAAAAGCGCTTTCGAGGCTAAAACAAATGATGCAAATACGTTTTCAGTGCCCTTCACCAACGGACGAGCAACAACAACAGCTTCAAGAGAAAAGAAAAATATTCGAGCATTTTTCTTAGCTCACTGGCAATTTTTACCTGCCGTGCTTAGGGGGCTCCGTTGCCGTTGGAAGTTAAGTATACGTAACGTAAACGTAAATTTAATGCTTGAAAAATTCGCTTAAATGGATTTAAGTGCGGCATTATTTTTTTTTTCTACTTTTTTGTTTTGCCTGCCTGCCTGCCTGGCAGCCTAGCTGCCTGCCCCTGCTGCTGCTGCTGCTGCTGCTGTTGTGTGCGTTATCTTTTGTGGCAAACGTTTGCCGCCAGATAAATGAAAATCTTCAAAAAGATGAAGTAGCAGTCCCAGACAGGGCAGCAACCTCAACCCCCGTTCAGTAGTCGGCCTAGGCTGTAGGCTTTGTGTTTATTGAGGCTACTTATCGAATGTACACAGTTAGGTTTACTCTTGGTCCGTCTATCCGTTCTGGCCCGTTCGACCCAACTGCAGCACTCGATGTGCATCAGCTGTGCGCAAGGATTTCATTGACTTTGCACAATGTTGCGTATACGCAATGTGAAATATATTCAATTTGCAATTGCATCGCACATCAGCTGCAACTAATTGTTCAACGTTCTGTTTGCTTTAACACAGACTGTGCTGCAGACGCATTTGTATAATAAGAAACTGAGCGAGAGAGTTTTGTGCAAAAAGTAATCACTTTGATGCAGTCTGTTGCCTGCCTGGCTGCTTTATTAGTGCACTTGACTCGGGAGTGCTGGCACTCGAGTGTTTTGTTTATTTGGAAAAAAACAGGACACTCGTGCAGTGCACTGAATACTTATGGCTCAACATTATTGTTTCGGAGCTGCCATGAAATTTATATGCTGACTAACGCACTTTATAATCAACGAGCGCTTAACCTCTGATAGCGGCATTTAGATGCGAGCGTTTATCGATGATGCCAACAGCTTCTGTGTGCTTGCCCTTGGCCTGAGCAAGAGACACACTCCAAATTTACGACTCTGCTGCCCCAGTTTTCTTCTTTTTTTTTATAGGCAATTAAATTCTATAAGCCATGGCAACTGAACTGAGCGGAACCACACTGCCTGCGGGTGGTTGGGTGGTGTTGGCACTGGGAGCGGGTGTGGCACAACCGCTTGTGGGGCATTTTGAGAACATGAGATTTGCATTTTTTCGGCGACCAGCGACATTTTGGGGGGCAGTACAGTGTTATAAAAAAAGGTCAAATGGAAAATGGAAAATGTAAAATAAGTGCGAAAAAATAACGTCAACCGAAATGGCAAAAGAACACTGCGAGACTGAACAGCAAGCCGGATCCATTGAATGATAACCTTCAGCATAATAGTGTGAAGTAATGAATATTAAAATGAAATTTGCACGAACACTTCACACAGATACGCAGCTACACACATATATATATATATATATATATACATATATATAGCGATGGAAAATCGAAGACGCTGCTTGGTCAACAAAAAAAAAAAAAAAACAATAACAACAAAAGCAAAAGAAACGCACGTTGACAGAGAGCAAATATTTTGACAGCTGTCAGTTGAAGAAAATGATTTTACATTTTTTTTTTTTTGCTGCTGACTTTTTCTTCGTATATTTGAATGGGCATTGTGTGTGAATGTGTGTCCTTTTCACACCAGTCGGTGCCGGGGTAGGGCTCTGTCTGCCAGGGGGCAGAGGAGAGTCGGTGCCAAGCTGATAGACAGGCAGACAACGTGACTGCTCCTTTAACACCAATTGCTTTTTAATGCATGCAGGTCCTGGCAAAACAGACAGGGTGAAAAAGCGAGTGTGTGTGTGTGTGGTTGTGTGTGTGTGTGAGAGGAAGAGGACTTGCAAAACAAATATATGTACGCAGGACGTTTAAAAAATTGATTGACATTTTTGGTGAGCACACATTTCGTCTTATTTTATATGCAAAACACACACACACACATATGTTCGTCTGTATGGGGTGTGCACATACATATATATATGTCAATGTCGCGCTGACAGACAATAATGACGTTAAAATTCTCAACATTTTCCTTGACGCTATTTGGGACGCTTTTGTTGTCATTGTTGCCTCGCCATAAGGCGCATTCTGACGCTATCGAACTTGCCCCATTTTACACCATCTTCCCCCCTCATAACTATAGCAAAATACCTAAAGCAATGAACGTGTTGTTGGCAACTTGCCACCACATGCAACTAGTTGCTTTTCATTTCTTTTTTTTATGCATACACAAGCAGAGTTATGTCTTTATCCAGATCAATGCTATATAAATCAGCATAAATATATACACAATCTACGGCTTCGGTTGGCCTTCTAGTCTTCACATTCTTTCGTATCGTCTTTGGGTAATGAAATCCGTGGCTGTTCTGGGTACTTCCACGTTACTGGCAGGGCTGGCTCGAGAGCCGTGTTGTACTGATATCCGCTGACAAACGCACAAACATCATCGGGTATCGGGAATTTGGTGGCCAAGCCCGTGTCAAATAGATACTCTGCGACAGCAACGCCAACCTTAAAGGCCACATTAGCGGCATCCATCACAGGTGGATAGAGAATAACGCTATCCGGATACTCCTCGACCGCATAGTCGGCCAGTGTGCGTGCCGTAATAAGATATACCTCGTCCGGTATTGTGTGGGGCTTGGCACACATTGCACCTAAAGCCACGCCGGGAAAGGCAAATGCATTATTGGCCTGCGATGGCGTCAAACGCTTGCCATCCATCAGAACGGGTGGGAAGGGGGAGCCAGAGGCAAAAAGTGCTCGACCCTGTTGAAGTTGACATAATATAGAGACAATAGCGACTATCGGATCAAGAGAGCAAAGATTTTGAATTAAGAATTAGGAATGCTCTAAGAATTATATAACAATCGGACAAGAGGCACATCGACTTTCTCAAAAGAGTAGCTTGCTGGATAAGTCTACCACATGCCACGATTTGAAGAGGAGTACAGGGTATTCGTATATCGACTAAAGAGCAGTCTTATTATTACCTCTGTAAAATTGTACGCCTGTTCTGCTGTGCATTCAGCCTTGCTCGTAGGATTCGAGCACGCAAAAATGGCTGGCTGCTTTTGATCTTGGGCCATGAGGCGTAGGACATTCTCTGTAAAAATGCCGCCCTGACCCGTGGCACCTAGCAATATTGAGGGCTTCAGCTCTTTCACCACTTGTTCGAGATCCGTTAAGGGTGGCATGTCCTTGGCAAATGGCTCTATATCGGGTAAAATAAAATCTTTTCTGTCTTTTGTCACAACACCAAATGAATCCATGAGGTAAATATTTTTCATAGCCTCCTCGGCACTCATCTTTCGGCTCATCAGCTCCTTTACAACAAGTTTGCCAATGCCGAGGGCTGCACTGCCAGCGCCTACAAATAGAATAAGGTGTTCGTTGAGCGGTCTCTTCGTGATGCGCTCAACGGCTAGAAAGCCGGCGAGTCCTGTGGCCGCTGTGCCCTGGATGTCATCATTGAAGTAGCAATAGTTGTCCTGATACTTGCTGATGAACTTGAATGCATTCGGCGTAGCAAAGTCTTCAAAGTGGATAAGTGTCTCATGGCCCCAGGAACTGACAACGCCGTCCATGAACTCTTGCACAAGATCCTCGTACTCCTTGCCAGTGCAGCGTTTCTCCCTCACACCAATATACAAAGGATCCGCAAGGAGCATCTTATTGTTAGTGCCCACGTCGAGGACAACGGGCATTAGATACTGCGGCGGAATCTTACCCAGAGCCGTATACAAATCCAGCTTGCCCACCGCTATGCCCATCCCATGGGCACCCAGATCACCCAAGCCAAGAACGCGCTCCCCATCCGTCACGCACACGGCCCGAATATCCTTGCCCGGCCAATTGTTGAGCACATGGTACATGTTACCCCTGTCGTATTTGCACACATACAGCCCCATCGAACTGCTGTAGATCGAACTGAATCTCTGACAGACGGCACCCACCGTGGGCGTATATATGATGGGCATCACTTTCTCCACATATTCGCTGACAAAGCGATAATAAAGTCGCTCCTGTCGCGATCGCAACGTTCTCAAATAGAGATAGCGTCCCATATTGGATTCTTGTGAATTAAAGTTAACGTTCGCTGCATACAACTGTTCGGCTTCAGTGCGATATGCGCAGGGCAACAACCCAATCACACTTAACTTCTGGCGTTCCTCATGCGTAAAGCCCAATCCCTATTTCAAATTAAATGTAAGTTAGCCCTAAAAAAATACATTCAAGAGTTGACTCACCTTGTTATACTTTGGATCGATAACTTTGCGGTAGTCCTGTTTGATGATATTTGCATGCCAGTGTCGCACTGGCTGTTGGGCCAATTCATTTCTTGCACAATTTTCCGGCTTGATGCACAAAAAGGCGCTAAGAGCAGAGAGGGAGAGAGAGAGAGAGAGAGAGCAGAGGGAGCAGTTGTGGGAAGCTTTTTAAGTTGTTTAAGTGGCAGTTGGGGAAATGCTTACCCCACGTTTCGGTTTAGTCCAAACCACAGTTGACTGAGCGCCATTGAATGTTGATTAATTTAGTCTTAATGCCAAACAAATTTAATAATCTATGTATGTATGTAAAGCATATGAAAATCACAAATATATATTTAAATTTAAGCGTAGATTATTTAAAAGAGGCCATCTTTGTTTGTGGAGTAGGATTCGATAGGAATCTTTGAAACTGTGATTTATATTTGGGCTGAGCAAAATATTTATTCGGCAAATTAATAAAAATCTGTTAAATGTCGTAATATCTAAAACAGAATACAATTTGACAGAGTCAAACTGCTGTATTCCCAAATTCACAAATACAATAAAAAATTACAAAAGACATAAAGTGAGTTGTTACGGTTAAGGCCAGGCCCAATTTGACTTTGACTAATTTGCATAAGGGTCATCTAGTCAACTGGAGACTGACAAAGTACTATTTACGTAGATGCTTACTTATTATTCATTATGTATCCATTATTATGCAAATCACTGGCAACTCAATGTCTAAGGCTTTGCTCATTTTAATGAGCATGTTTTCCTATTATTGCCGTTGTTGTCTTTTTTCTTCTTTACTTTTATGGCGGCAGAAGTTTAAGGATCTTGTGGAAAAGACCCATTGTCAGTGGCTGTGCTCATTAGTTGGTGTCTTATTTTGTATGTTGACATCGAACCGAGCCAAAGAGAAAGTGGAAAGTGGCCAGAACACAAATTGACTCTTAGCGCTGCCATCAAAGGATTTGTCTCAGCCTCCCAAACCAAAAAAAAAAAAAACAAAAACGAAAAAGAGAAAATAACTAATAAAAGTTGCCTACTTTTTTGCAGCGCCTGTCTGCTCTGCTAATTGCGCCAAATTAGTTGACAACTTAATGTCGTAAAAATTTGTAGCTAAATGCCTCAATCTTTCGTTAATGGCATTGACAGTGGTGTTATACCTATCTACTACCAAACATATACATACATATATATGTACAGTTGTATGTGTTAAATACACACATACATATTTTGAGGAAGCGGCGTTTCTCGCACGTGACGTTTCCAAGTACGTGACATTTTGGCCGCACTGGCTGTCAAATCTGCAAGGACATGCTTTGTTGTTTGTTTACAATATATATAAATGTGTGTGTGTGTGTGTGTGTGCGCGAGTGTGCATCTGTGTGTGTAGGGTATATTGTTCTTATATTCGACAAGAGTTCTTTTGTCTGCCGCCGCCCCATAAATTAACTTTCTCAGCTAAATTATAATAGTTTAATTAGTTTTTTGTACATGCTGACACACGCTGCGGCTGACAGTTCCATTAATAGATGCATAAACTTTAATTAACCGAACTTTGAGTCCAAGCTCGACCCATGGCAGTGACCTCAAAAACCGATGATGCTCCTCTCTGCTCTGCTTTTCCATAGTCATAGAGTACACAAGTAAATGTTATGGTATACTCATATCACATTCTTATCTCCTTATCTTTGCAGAGCATGTCAAGGACTTCAGTTGTGGCCCGCTGCACTACAAAACCTTTTATATGGATGAGCGCAACAATGCGTTATATGTTGGTGCCATGTAAGTACACATATATTGCATGCAGATAAAAAGTACACACACACACACATACAATGGATAAGTGAATGGGATTTATAACTGGCCAAAAACTGTGCAGACCAAGTTGTAGCAACCTTTTGGGCCTCGGCTCGCAGCGCGATAATTACAAACTTCCGGTCTGACTGTGTGAACTTCCGAGATGGACCTACTCGCAAGCCTCAACGCATTTAGAGCTGCATATTTCATTTTGCTGAACGAGCTGAGAGTTAGTTTGTTGGCCAACACTCAGTCGGCATACATAATTATGAATTAATGCTTGACGTGAGGTTGGGCAGGGATGGCCCGGCTGTTACAATGGTCTAGAGGTCGGTGTTGGGATCGGGGTTAGGGGGTTTGGGGGTTCGGGGTCGAGGTCGGGTTCGTCGTGGTCGGGGTCGTGGTCGGACTGGCTCAATTTGACAATGGCCGTCGTCTGCTCATTTGTCTGACGGCAAGTTGAACATGGCCGCATTTTAACAGTTGCGGTCTAGGGAGCCGCCCTTCCCCTCATCCCTCCGTCCCAACCCCCTTGAAAACAAGCCAAACAAAGTAACCAAAATTACCACTTGACTCGACGGTCATTTTTCCAACGCAGACCTCCTCGCTCGTTGGAGGGCATCATCAGTGACTGCTTCTGCGGCGGCGTTCTACTCTGGAAATGAAGATTAATGGTTTGCAGTTTGTTCGAGGGGAGGCGCCTAAAACTTTGTCCCAGCCCAACAACATAAAACCCACTTTAGCACCGACGCGACGCGACGCGGCGAGACTCAACGTTTCCCCCTTTTTCAGCTGTGAGCCTCCGAGGAGAAGCTTAAAGCGATGGGTTCGGTGCTGCAAGTGTTGCGGACTGTGCAGCATTGTCCATAGACGCAATATTGCGACATCGATATATCAATCCATCAATCAATCAATCACGGCCCGGGGCAGTTGTGCAATAAACGTGACGAGCAGGTGCGCTAGCTCCAAAAAGTATATGCTACGCTTCTTTCAGCCATGTGCAACGCAACGATTTTTCAAAAATATCACAAACACACACACACACACACACACAGATGAGACACAGCGCTGTAGCAAGCAACAAATAGACAATTTCAATTGCTTGACAGCGAGGCGAAGTTGTATTTCTCGAAGTCGCCACCTTTTGTAATGATGCCACCAACAAATAAACTGACAAGATGACGGTGCCTCAGCCGCAACATGTCAGTGTGTGTGTGTGTGTGTGTTTCTATGTGTGTATCTCTATGATGCCACAATGTCACGCCCTTGTGCTGATTGCGTTTTCGCAGCCGCACAGCATTAACTTATCGTATGTCAGGGCACGAGCACGGGATTAGCTCAAGTGTCACTCTTACAGCCGTATCCACATCCACATCCACATCCGCATCCATATCATGCATAAAGACAAAAACAGATGAAAAACAAAAATAAAATACAAACCGTGTAATATATTTCTCATTATCTTTTGCAGGGATCGCATTTTTCGCTTAAATCTGCGCAACATCAGCCAATCGATATGCGAGGTAAGTGAAATGTGTGAAATGGGTCGCGAAAGCAAAAGTCAACCTTAAAGTAAAATCTCTATTGACTGCAAGAAGCAAACCCCCCCCAAAAAAAAGGGAAGAAAGAGCCGCACATGTAAATGCACAAAAAGACACAAACACATACAGTCACTTTTAGGCACTTCAGTATTGTTTGCCAGACAGACAGTTGTTGACACACTCGCACACACACACACACACACACACACTCCTCAACACACCGCGACACACACAAATGCCCATTGAAACACGTTAAGCTCACGTGCAGGCTTTGCACCTGGGCAGACACTGAACAAGTTTGTTGGCTTTCTGTTTTGTGCTCTTACACTTTGTGACAAGCTTTTTATAAACACAAACACAACTTGCAACACATCAATGTATGCGCAAATACTTGGAATGTGCTCCCTCTCAAGCGGACTTGCTCTGAATAACATTGTCTTGGATGTTTTATGCTTGAATATTACCCAGAATCATATAACTTTATGAGTAATTTGCCGCTTAATAAGACTCTTTACTGCAGGTCCTGTTAAATTTCTATTTAATCGATTATATTAAGCTTGTGATATTTTCGCAATGTATTTCAAATTGTATTGTTTTAAAGATGTCATTTCACTCTTTGCACTTTCCTCGATATTTATTTAAAAAATTCTAAGTACATGCGCTTTGAAGATTGCGTACCATTAAGTACTTCGTGCGATTTACGATTTTCGGAACTGACAGCGAAGGAAAAGTTCTGCGACTCTTTTATTCGCACTCGTATCCGTTAAAAAAAAAGAAGAAGGAAAGTAGACAGCCTGCCCCCAACTTGTCTAGGAGCAGGCGCACAATTGCACTTTAATGATTTCGTCTTCAACTATCAATATCCGTTTCCGTTTCAAGTTCATTGCATTGGCATTCGTATTTGCCCACTTGCATTTCGCATTTGGATTCGCTCGCAATCATCCTACAACTGGACTAAACCATTTGCAGCCATGTCTTTTTAGTCATCCTTTCGCACACTTCGTCCAGGCGGTCGGCAATTGCTTTCAACAGCAATTATTTGTGCTGACTCCCAAAACTCCCAACAGCCTGGCTGGATGGCTGTCTGGCTGCCTGTATGGCTGACTGGCACAAATTGCGTTTCAAGTTGAATCACAGCACTCAGCCGCTGCTCCTTAAAGTGCAGTCAGCCAAGCGGACAAACTGTCAGCAGGACACAGGATATTGTGTCCACATGGCCACAGCGCAAAGTGTGTCATTTCTGAGATTACTCTCCAAGCTTCATTGGTTCACATTAACGCAAAAGAAAAATAAGCATATAAAGAGAAGAAAAATGTTACTTAGTTGAAACGTGCGGGAATGTAAAGTCAAAGTCGGTTTTTCAATTGCCAGCCAACGTTTTATTTATTCTCAATTTTTTTTTTTTTAGCTATAATTCGAATTGGCGTTCAAAACTCAAGTGCAGGCGAAAATCGAATTAAATAAACAAATGCTCAACGTGAGTGAAATACCAACAATAATAACACCAACAATGGCTACAATATGAGCAGCACATACACAGACACACACACACACATACAATAATATCCGCGCACACACACACACAAACACATACATCTTGGCAATACAAAAAAAAAAGAGATGGACGCCTTGATTGTACGTGTTTTGTGTGTTTGCAACATACACCCACGCCCACACACACACACACATTTACACACTCTCCCTCACACATACACCAACACACACATACACACACAAAATCTCCAATTGTTGCTCGTTTCTTTTGTTGGACTTGTTGTTTTGGCTGTCGCGTCGCCGCTTTCCTGATAAGGATGAAATTTTATCACGCTTTCAATAAACTTTTGGAATATTTGTTAAGCGTATCACATTGGGAAAAAGCGTGAAAGAACCGTCTGGTGTTTGACATTAAAGCTTGCTAAATATTTTGAAATTTATATTTGCTGTTGATTTCAATTGGAAATTTGTTTTCCCTCTCTTTTGCAGCGCGATGTTCTAATACTGGAACCCACTGGCTCCGACATACTCAACTGTGTGTCGAAGGGCAAGCGAGAGGTGCGTTATAGTAGCCATATAAATATACTATCTACATAATATGCATATCCATATCCATGCAAATTTGATATAAATTTAAAAAAAAAGAACACAAAAATATTCAACGAAAACAGATTGCATGCCTTGCAAATATTTTGGCCATCATTTCGATCCGATACTTATGCATTGCCTTCACCATTTTGTCTATCCATATTCCCATTACACATACACACAAATACACAATTATTTTGTTGCTTAAATACATTGTTTCTATTATGAAAAAAATATGACAATTGGGCGCATATCAAGAAGGTGGAGTGCCGCAATCATATACGCGTCATTCAGCCCATGAACTTCAATGGCCATCGGCTCTATGTCTGCGGCACAAATGCACACAACCCCAAGGACTATGTTATAAATGTAAGTACAAACAGAAATATATACATTTTTATTTATGTTTTACATTAAACAAAAAAAAAAAAAAAAGAAAGAAAAGAACTCCATAGCTTAAGGGGTTAATTCAAGAGTGTTTGCCGACACATAAACAAATAACGCTGGCTTTCGTCAGCTTCTAATTGTGAACGGCAGGCAGTCAAGTTGGAAGTTAATTTTGCCAACGGGAAAAGCGTCAGCCCGAAATTAAAGTCAACTAATGCGCTTTTCTCTCTCCCTCTCTATCTCTCCCCCTCTCTCGCTGTCTGTCTTTCTTTCTCAATTGCACAGGCGAACTTAACACATTTACCCAGATCCCAGTACGTGCCCGGCATTGGGTTGGGCATTGGGAAGTGTCCCTACGATCCCGCTGACAACTCAACCGCCGTCTATGTGGAAAACGGAAATCCCTTTGGTTTGCCAGCGCTGGTAAGTCCAAGTCTCCCAAGACGGAAGGCGAAATAAAGGCAAAGAAAAAGGCACAAAAAGAAAAAAAAAAAATGAAAAGAAAATAAAATAAAAAAAGAAAGGGAAAAATGTCAATTGTAATAAAATTACAAAAGTAAAGTAAGGGCAAAAGACGAAGGCAAGTAGGATGTAGGAAGTGGCAAGTGGAAAATGGAAGTGGCTGTTGGGATAAGGCAACGGCAAAGGCAAAGGCAAAGCTTTGCGCTACAGCAAGAAATTTAAAAGAGTCGCAATAAAGCAGCTGAAATTAAATTAGAGTGAGTCACATACGCACACACGCACACACACTGACACAACACACTCTCGGCACGTGCGTACACTTTACGCGTAATTGTGTGCGTGCCTGTGTGTGAGCGTGTGTGTGCGTGCAAGTATGCTAGTGTGTTTATGCCCTATGCATATATATTTTGCCATTGCCTTTTTGCAAAATCAAATTTCCCGAATATTTGACGCTAATTTGCCAGCATTGCCTGCGATCTAGCAAAGACAGAGCACGGTTTAATCCATTTTCCTCTAATTTGCATACCAGTACGCCGGAACCAATGCGGAATTTACCAAAGCCGATTCGGTTATATTCCGCTCGGACCTCTATAACTTTACCAACGGACGCAAGGAGGCGAATTTCAAGCGCACCGTTAAATACGACTCCAAATTACTAGACAGTGAGTATTCTATTTAATCAACTTGTACAGGTGTCCAATATATCTGCATTAAATCAATATACTTAATGTGTTAAGCCATTATTTTTTTTTAAATCAAATTAAATGTGGTTTATTAAAGGTTAACAAATGAATTTTTAATCTGGTTTGAGTTGTATCTGCACTTGCTTTCGACTTTTAACTCTGTAAAATATTCATTCATTCAAAACAGAACTTTTTATGTAAATACAAATTCAATAATAATTGGAAAGCATTCTTCTTTCATATTTAAATCTACTGTTTGGAATATTTTTACAAAAAGAATGAGCCAACAAAACCTTAACATTAAATTAATATTTAATGGCGAAGTGAATTGAAAAAAATATTTACGCTAACAAATGGAACACAAATAAAATCTGTCAATGGGAAAATGCTCAATAATCAATTTACTCTATAAATAAGCACATTTATACTCATGCATATGCATATCGGTGAACTTAAACAAAGCAAAGCTAGCTTAAATCAATATTTCACAATATATATGGAAGTTTATTGTTATTGTTCCCAGCTGACTTTGTCTAAGGCAGCTGCGGAAATCCTTTGATTTTCCGTTTGCATTGAAAACTAATAGAATCCTTTTGTTTGGTTTGTTCTTCTTAGAACCAAACTTTGTTGGCTCTTTCGACATTGGCGACTTTGTGTACTTCTTCTTTCGCGAGCACGCCGTGGAGTATATCAACTGCGGCAAGGCGGTCTATTCGCGTGTGGCACGCGTTTGCAAGAACGATCGCGGTGGCAAGTACATGATCAGCCAGAACTGGGCCACATATCTGAAGGCGCGCATGAACTGCAGCATCTCGAGCGAATTTCCCTTCTACTTCAACGAAATACAATCCGTCTACAAGATGCCCAACGATGATAGCAAGTTCTATGCCACGTTTACAACGAATACAAACGGACTGATTGGCTCCGCAGTCTGCAGCTACGATATACGGGATATCAATGCCGCCTTTGAAGGTAAGTCTGTGTGTGTGTGTGTGGAGATGGGTGTCACTGCTGGAGTGGATGTGTGTGTGTGTTTGTGTGTGTGTGTGTGTCTGAGCGTGAGATTTATTGCATTGGCAATAATTCTCTGCGGCGCCATTTTTATGAACGTGCATGTGGGCCACGTTTGACTTCTTCCAGCATATCCCATTTCGCTGGGTTGCAGCTGCCGGAAGAAATTACACTCACAGGTGCTGCATACATGTGTATATGTGTCTATACATGTGTGTGTGTGTGTGTGTGTCGTGCACAGCAGCTTTGGCATTTTAGCGTTAAATGGCGCGCAAGTTGAATTGATGTGCTGGTGCCACTGGGGGTCGTTGTAGCTGGTGTGATGTGCGCTTTAAATGTTTCTTTAACGTTTGCCACAAAACGTTGCGCTGGCGTGCTGCTTACGGCTAACGGGTAACAAGATATGCGTGACAGGTGTTAACAACGCCCCACGATTTCCAACTGCAACTGCAATTGCAGCTGCTGCCCGCCTGCTTGCCTGCCAGCCTGCCTGCCTGCTTGCAACACGCAAGCAGATGCATTCAATTTGTCATGCAACGTCAAATGCAAAAAAATAAAAATACAAAAATATTGTTAGGGACATGCAACAAAAATCTGGCGTGCAACTCGAAGTGCATGTCATATTTTAATCCTAGTTGCAGTCTCTCCCTCTCTCTCTCTCTCTCTCTCTTGAGCTGCATGCCAGTTGAGTGGCAAAAACATACATTTACTCAAATGCTATGTTATTTAGTTGTTCTCGAAAAGCATGCAAAATGCACTGCCAGAACACAATGTACAACATACTGTATATGTCAGCAACAACATACACAACAACCACAAATGTTGTACAAGTACGTCTTGAAATTCATTTCCGTTGCGAGTTCAATTGAATCCAATATGACATGCTGGGCAAATTGAGTTGAAAATGTTTTCACAAAGCTACACTTTTAGAGGATTTTAGATCGTCAATTCTTATGACTTATTTGCAATTTATTTATTTCATGCTTACTTTAAAACATTTTTAGAATTACAAATAAAATATTTTCCATAAGTAGCACACGTTAATTTCTAGCAAGTGTGTGTGTGTATGTGATATAACTTTGCTCAGAAGTTCATTAACACCATAAAATTGTGTGTATGGAGTTGTGCCAAAAGATGGCCAGACTGTCGGACTGACTGTCAGATGGCAGACAGACAGCGTGGCAGACTCAGCGCCATCAGCCAACTGTCAGTAAAAAAAAGTCTGGAATACACCAAAAATTCATTATGAAAAGTTTGCGGCCATTTTGCACAATGTGTGAACAAAAACTTGTACAGAGCTATAGCCAAAACAATTATTTATGAAAAACCAAATGATTATGCAGCAAACACTTCAAGTGCTTGGCTGCAATCACAACAGTTGCCAACAGATATATATATGTGTGTGTGTGTGTGTAATTAGTAGCGTTAACTGTGGTTTTTTGTTTTAGTGAGAGTCGCTGCTGGGCTGGGCTACAAATCAGCGAGCTGTGAGAGCTGCTGAGTAATTTATCATTTGATACAGCAGCGTGTTGACACACATAAATTTAACATAGCATACTTTTCAGCGTTGCACTCTTATGCACTACATAAAAAAGGAATTAACACTCTTTCTCTCTCTCTCTCTCTCACACACAAATATACTCTTACTTACTGGTATAGGCAAGTTTAAAGAGCAGGCGACATCGAACAGTGCCTGGCTGCCCGTGTTGAACTCAAAAGTGCCGGAACCACGTCCGGGTACATGCCACAACGATACCGCAACGCTGCCGGACTCGGTGTTGAATTTCATACGCAAACATCCGCTAATGGACAAGGCGGTCGATCATGAATTTGGCAATCCGGTATTCTACAAACGGGACGTTATACTCACCCGCCTCGTCGTCGACAAGTAAGTAAAATGTGTAAATGTATTCATTAGCGAGCTGCGAGCTGCGAACTTCAGCTGAAACTGGTTGCCTCTGGCAACCAGCCACGTTCTGGCTTGAATGTCTATATATGTTGGTAGTGTGTGTGTGCTTTGCTTGCTGACATTTGCCAAGTTTATGCAGTGCACTTCGTTGTGGTAGCCACACAGAGAGTCGGTACGACACAGACCACGACAATGCTGACATTTTGGGAGCACTTGCTCACTGACAGCAAAAATGCTGTTTTCTTTTTCTTTTGTTGGTTTGTGTTTTTTTTTTTTTTTTGGTTTTCCTTCGGTGGTTGCTGCTTGTTAAATAAGTTGGCCAAAACTTATGAGCATTGCACTCCAGGATATGCTTTTAGTTAAACGTTTTGTTTTGTCATGGCAAAAAAACTGACTTGACTTGGCCAAGTCGTGTGCATTTGAGATATGTGTTGCACAGCATAACTGTCAAAACGGTAGATGCGATTCATCAACTCTGACCCTCTTGTGGTTTTTCTCCCCCAGAATACGCATTGATAAACTGAACCAGGAGTTTTTGGTGTACTTTGTGGCCACAAGCACTGGCCAAATCTACAAGATAGTGCAATTCATGCACTATGGCCAACGTCACTCGAATCTGGTGGACGTTTTTGATGCATCGCCACGCAATGAACCCATTCGGGAGCTGACCCTCAGCCAGAAGACTGCCTCGCTGTATTTGGCCACCGATCATCAGGTGAAGCAAATTGATCTGGCCATGTGTGCTCGACGCTATGACAGCTGTTTCCGTTGTGTGGCTGATCCGTACTGTGGCTGGGACAAGGAGGTCAACGCCTGTCGGCCCTATCAGCTGGGCCTACTCCAAGATGTGGCCAATGAGACATCCGGCATCTGCGATACGAGTGTGCTGCGCAAACGTGTCACATCCTCCTATGGACAGACGCTTCACTTGTCCTGCTTCGTCAAGATGCCCGATGTGCTGCGCAAGAAGCAGACACGCTGGTATCATCACTCCACGGAAAAGGGACGGTAAGTGCTGAATTTCTAATCAACATTTTAAGACTCTACACCTTTAGTGAACCATTTGTGAATTTCCTAGAAAATTAGTTTTGCTTCTTCTATTATTATGGAAATTGCTGTACGTAAATTTCAAAATTATTTCTATGCGATTTTATTCTGAGTGTATATCCCGATCGATACCGTGGGGTTGGGCGTTACATCATTTTACCTGCACAAGTTTATTGTGCCCTTGTTAGTCATTAAATGCAAAGAGAGAATAGTACAAAAATGGTTCTTAAATATGCGAAGCCATAGATTAAACGGCAGCTTTTGATGGGAACCTCCTTGGAGACAGAGTAGCTAACAGTTGGCAGCTGGCAGCTGGCTGCTGTACTTAAAGCGAGGCAACGCAATGAAAATTGAAAGCAAATAATGAAATCGGAAGTGTAAGCGAAACTTTGCTCCATCTCACTTAGCGATGGCTGCTATTGCGTCGAGTCTTAGCATTGGCATTGGCGTTGCCAATGCTGCGGTAAATTGACACTTTAAAATACTATTGAAGTCTGCTTTTTGGCGTTTTACGCTTATTTGAGGACGCACCGCGGCGGCACAGTGCGGGCAATAAGTAGTCATCTGTCTGTCTGTCTGTCTCGCTGTCTCTGTGTCTGTAATGGAAAAAGTTTTCAGCTGGCGCTGTCAAAGTTTCCACACACACACACTTTATATTGATTTTTATTGTGCGTTTCTTGAGAGACACTTTTCCACGCGCTCGCATTGCCAAATGGCCAAATACAAACTGAAAATGGAAAATAGAATATATACCAAATACCAAATACCAAATAGAAAATAGAAAAGCTCCTTATCTGCTGCGTTCTCAAACATTTTCCTTATTTTCTTTTGGTCCCGTCTGGCAGCTACGAGGTGCGCTACACCCCCACAAAATATATTGAGACGAACGAGGGCGGTTTGGTACTTTTGGCGGTAAATGAGGGCGACGGCGGACGATATGATAGCTACTTGGATGGCACACTTCTCTGCAGCTATGGCGTTACTGTTGATGCGCACAGGTGAGTTCTTAAATACCCCCCTCCCCTAGCTCCCACAAAATAAAAAAAAAAAACACCCCTTACAATCTGGCAATTAAATTTACCGCCTCTGGCGTCAAAATATCCGTTGCGCAATTAGAAAGTTGTGCGCATTTTGTGTGAAACTTTCGACTTTTGCATGTTGTTTTTTTGGGTTGCTGCAAGTTTAATTTCCGTGCAAAGAATCGACCCGACGATAACTTATTGTGTACCTTTTATATTCTCTCGGCGAAATCAGATGCTCGCCACCATCACAGAAGCAGGACTATCAGAAAATCTACTCGCACTGGTGCAACGAGTTTGAGAAATACAAATCAGCCATGAAGCAGTGGCAGGCCAAACAGGAGGTAAGTGAAATGTACCAATTAAATATACATTTAGCATACTGGCTTCCACTGGCAGCAGGCAGCAGGCGGCGGCGGCGGCGGCAGCTGTCGTTAATTGTTTTAATTAATATTTCATGCAAATCGCGAGATTCTGTGCCTAATTTCCATGTTATTCATGTTACACGCCGCCTGCTTCCGAGTCGCTTGCAATTAACGATATTATTTTTGGTTCTTTTCGATTTTTATAGCCAGAACTTTACGTCGTATATATATATATTTTTGTATTTTTGTATAAATACGCATATTTTTGGTCTAATTAGGCTAAGGGCATACTTATTATTTTACATTTTGTTGGTGTTATTTTTCTTGCAGCAATGCGGCCTCAAGGACAAGTCGGCGACAAGCAGCAGCAGCAGCAGCGGCAACGGCAAACATGTCAACGATGTATTCAGCAATGACGCTTTGGTCTGACCCAGAAGTGAGTATGCGACTTGACTTGAGCCAAGTCAACTTAGCACTTTATACCGTAGCACCTTCTACCCAACAAATGAATCCTATAAGCGAACAAATTTAACTTATGGCCTTTGCCCTCTTGTTGTTGTGCCTTCCCTTTCAACTATGCTGCCCACTCGCCACAGAGTACTTGTACAGCTTTGAGTTCTTGTCGGCGGGTGTACGCCCAAAATTTGGCCACCAATTGTACATTTTCGTGTTTCTGCTTGCCATGTGCGCTAGTTTCTAAAAAGTTTCTAGTCAAAGTAAGTTGTAGCTGAAACGCTGAAACTCAAAGCACCTCTTGAACCCGGTCTAATACACCAAATGGATATTAATGTTCACATATATGTATGTTTACCATTCAATCTGATTACAGCCAGCAACATCAGCGGAGTAAAGAAACAGCCAGGAGATGAGTAGTAGTAGTAGCAGCAGCACCCAGAAAGCAGTGACAAGAGCCGAGCAAACCAACTACAAAGACTGACATTTTTAAGCTTTTGAAAGACAATATTTCAATATGTTTTCAATATGTTTTTGCTTCATTTACATATATATATATCTATATATATATATAGAAATTGTTTAGTGCTCTTCGTTTGGCATTCGAATTATCAAGAACAACAACAACTAACAAATAACTATTATCACAGCAAAATGCAACCATCAGCAACACATCAACAACAATAACCAGAACAAAAACATCGACAACAGCGAAAACTGTACGTATGATTTCAATACTAAGGTACACAGAACTAGCCAGAATGAAGCATGAAGCGCTAAGCAAGTGAAGAGTAAACGTTTAAAGTTACTAACAAAAGGATCCTGCCATGAAATGAAAAATGGAAAATACGGTTTTACATAGATGAACAGAGTCTCTATTTCTATTTCTAATTCTATTTCTATTGCGATTGCGATTGCGATTGCGCCAAATAAACAGAAAGAATCACTAAATTATGCTAAGATACTTACATACTCGTAACTAGGAAGCGCAAATGCAAATACAACCAACCACCTACATGACACAAACACAAACACACACACTCATACACATATACCATATACTTACATACATAGGCAACAAGGACATGCGAAATATCAAACGAATCATTCAAGTTAAGCTCAACGTTTTTTGCCTCAGTTTGTGTATATTATGTAATGCATTTGGATTTACGTTTCATGATTGTGCATAACTTTAAATATAAAAACAAAACCAGAAAACAGAAATCAGAAATCAGAAAACGAATACAAATGCTAAAAGATAGCGTCGCTTGGCCATGGGAAAGATCTTAAACGAATTTGTATATTAACTAGCAATATTTGTTTAATAATTCTAGTATTAGTTTTATGAATAGCTATGTATAAATAGATTGTAGGTATTTTATTTTAAAATATGATACAACAACCTCTGGCGTACATTGTATTTTATGGAACCAAAATTTCAAGATATATATATATATATATATTATAGACATCCGATAAAGCGCACAGCCCAACTCGTGACTCTGATGGTCTCTAGGTTTAGGCGATTTTTGTACATAACGAAGCTTTAGTTATAATCCATAGCGTATAGGATATCGTTTGACTAAATGCATTATTTTACGGAATTTAAGTCTTAAGTACAGTACATCAAATCGAAGCAAAGGAAAGAAACTGATTAAAGAATATATATTTTCGGTCTTGGCATATAAATTAAATATTTCAAGTACGCTAGAAGCTAATTTAATTATTTGATATCAACATTTTTCAGTTTTATTTTAAAAGAATTTTATGGCGAACAAAAAACACGCTGACGGCATTTTGGTCGTTATTGTATAGATTGCGGGTTAGCCTGATGTTTACTATAAGCAATATATATGCATACACATAGTTACTGCATTGAGACCAACATGCTCATATAAATACACAAATACAAATACAAATACAAATAAATATACAAACATACATAAATATATTTAACCATAGTTGTAAGTAAGTTGGTGTGGCAAATACATTTTAGTAATGTTAACTTAATTCTCAAATCGCAGTCATGCAGGATAAATGCATATAAACATACATACCGACATACATACATACATATATGATACGTATGTGTAGCATTTGAAAGCGGATAATTACTTGAAACGCATTAAATCGATGTAGAAGAATAAAACATACGGATACGGTCACATATATATGCATATCTAATACATGGCTGCCCGACAAACCCCCGATGAATAATTCAATATTAATGAGCAAGCGATAAATCGAACTTATCCACTATTAATTAGAATGCAAACTGCCATCAAATATTGAAATGCATTTGAACACACATGGAAAACTAAACGCTTCTCTAAACAGTAAGCCATGCAAATTGGTAACGCAAATAAAGAAGAAGTGCATAAGCAAATATTCACATATGTATGTACATTTACATATGTGCATATGCATATTAAATACGTATATGCATAAATTATTGAAATATTTTTCTAAACGTTTTCTTAACAAAAAATTCAAAAAAAAAAAATGAAAAAAGAAAGGAATAAGCAACAACTACAAAATTTTAATGTTTCCATCTAGAAGTTATGCACAGGAAAACTTTTAGCTTGGTACTCAAATCTACCCATTGTAAATGAACTAAAAGTAATATATGTACTTTTCAGCAACTAATGCTCTGAGCTTCTAACTTGATACAAATGTTTGTTTTGCTTTTTGTAGACATTTTTGATTTTTGATTTATTGTAAATAATTCAAAGATTATGTGAAATGTTTTGTATGACAATCACATGATGTTGAGCAAATAAAAATATGATGACCCGTAAATGAAGTAAATTGCAATGTCGGTAATTGAAAAAAAAGAACTCAAATAAACAAAAATAACAAAAGTAATGAATTACAAATTTAACATAAATACAAAATAAATAAATATATATATATGTATACACATATATATATATATATATTGTACTTTATATAGTTAAAATAGCATAATAACAAACGAAACGATCCTTGTAAAAATAAAAGAATAATCGCAGCGTACAGGCAAAAAAATCGTTTATACAAAGTATTCATACAATAAAAATAATTCGCGCTTGAAATACATTTGCATATACTTATATATGTATACAGTTTTCTGTCTATGGTCAACTATAATAAATATATAATGAATTATTACTACAAAAACAAATGGATAACAAAAAAAAATACATTAAAAAACCTAAAAAAAAAACAGCTGCCCTGAAGAACGTATCATGAGCTATCTTAATATTTCATAAAACAAAAACAAAGAAGAAAAAAAGAAACAAAAATAATTATGTAAACTTACAATTAAACAAAGAACTTAGCTGTAAACATAAAAGAAAAATGCAGTAAATAAATGTGATAAGATTCTTTAATAGAAAATATTTGTCGTTTTTCTTTATGGTTCTATATTAATTAAATACAACTTATTGTTTTTTGCCAGAAGCAGGCGCCTAACGTGTTCTTATCTGTGGCGAAACCATCATTCGGAATTATTAAGCGTATAATTCCAAGCTGCAAATAGAGTCATTAAACTATTTATTTTGAACAATGTCAAAAGCGGCGGAGACTGTTGTTTTTTTCAATTAAGTGTGGACAAGGCGACAAGGGCGATTGCCTGACCTCAGGTCATTTTCATTGTTATTAACCACAAATGGAGTCGCATGCGATGGGGCAACAGCAGTGCGACACAGCGGTGCCGTCTGTATTTCATTTGCCACATTGACAAATGGAATGAAACCAATGCGACTGAGACAGGCGAAGGGACGAGGGAAAGCATTCTCTCCCTAGTAAAGAACCTGTCAGTGGCAGGCAAGGATATATGTATACATATACACGCACACACCAATACATCGCGTACTCATTCGCAAGCATGCAATTTAATTTGGCTGCCATTTTTTGTTGCCGTTTTGCTTAATGCTGCTTTACGGTGGTTGTTTCAATTTATTACACAATAGTACAACTGCAATAGCAATTGAAATTGTTGTTCTTAACAGTTTCAACTCTCGCACACCAGTCGCAAGTTCAACAACACTCACACACACACACGTGCACACACACATGGGTTGACATGTGAACATTGCATGCAACTAATTGGCCAAGCACTATTGCCTTTGACGATACCCAAATGACAGCCGCATTGAAATTACAGGATTTGGATTTGACGTGCCACTTGCAACTGGAGCAAGACACATTCCAATGAGCCACCAAATGCAATTAGTATTTAGAGCGGATTTAATAATTAAATTCATATCGTTAAATAGTACACGTGGTGGACTAGATATTTTGCTTATAGTACGTAGCGGACTCGGCGGTGCCAATATTTTGCTTTGCCGTACAATAAATCTGGGAAATCTCCGGGCCATAGTCCGTTTGGTACATCATGCTCTCAATGTAGCTCGTGGGATTGCTCGGCTCCGGCCAGAGCGTGGCAATGCGGCGACGATAGGCATAGCTGAATACAGTATCTGTAATCTGTTGATTAATGCATTTCAACTTGCGTATGGGTGGAAAGCAATTGCGCATTTCCAAATCATTGGGCCATACGAGATTGGCCAGTCGTTGTGCTGCAACCAGAAATGTATCATCCGGCACGCTTGTCATGCCGGACAGCATGACACCCAGCGTTAATCCGGGTAGCATATAATTGACGTTGCAATAGCCCGGCTGATACCATTTATTGGCATACTTCAATGGGGGCAGCTCCGAAGCCGAGATGAAAATGCATCGTCCTTTTGTATAGACAAAGGCATCATTTGCACTACACTCAGCCAACTCGGACTGGCGGGTCATGGAATAGATGATGGGTTGCTTACAGCTCTGCTCCATTGCTTTGATTACCTCTTTGCTAAACACATTTGGCTGCTTGCTGCAGCCCACTAAAACATTGGGTTTAATGGCCTCAATTGCCTCACATAGACTAGAAATTGGCTCATGTCGCTTCACAAACTTAAGCAGGTGGACGGGAACTGTGTCATCGCAACGTGAATGGACAACCAATCCCTTGTCATCGCAGAACCAGATGCGATCCCTTGCTGCACTCTCATCCAACCGCATGTGTTTCAATTGGGCTAGACATGTGTAAGCCATGCCAACGTTGAAAGCGCCATAGCCATAAAGCAGTATCGTGTTATCCGTTAACTTCCTATTGCTAATTCTATTGGCAACCAGCAGACCCGCCAACCCACAAGCTCCCAGGCACTGCAGATCTATGTCCATGATGCATTGCCTCTTGCGATACAGCTCCAGCTGCTTGATGGAGTCCTTTATATTAAAGTTCTTCGTTTGTATCAAAGTGCGTGGTCCAAACAGACGCATGACTGCGAGCATAAACTCCTCAAAGAAGGATTCGTACTCGGGTCCAGTGATGCGACGGTGGGGCCACCCCACGTAGAGGGGATCCTGCAACAAGTGCTCGTTATTGGTGCCGCAATCCAGCATAATTGGCAAACATGTCTCGGGTGGAACTCGGCCATAGACGACACTTTGATGCAATTTGGAAAATACCATTGGATATCCATTGACACCGTGATCGCCCATATTCAGCACCACCTCCCCGTTCGTCACAATTAAATAGCGAACTGCATGGCGGTGAGGCCAGTTGCTCAGCACTTGGAGGACATGGCCGCGGTCCTTGATCGTTACAAACATTCCCTTGCATTTGGTAAACAGATGACTGTAATGTATTACCGAATCTTTTGCACTGGAGCTGTGATACACGGACAAGTATTTCTCCGGATTGCTCATCAGCATGCTATAGAACAGCTTGCGATCGTGCGTCTCCAGTTCCGTGAGAAATATATGCTTCTGATAGTATGTGGTCAATGTGGCTAAGTATTTGCTGCATGCCTCCACCTGCCTGTCGATGCTGCGAACTGCAACGGGCAGCAGGCCATGGATATTGTACAGTTGTCGCTCCCGATGCGAAAATGCCGACGATTTGTTCAACGACGCGATGCGCAACATTTTCAGACCACTCATGCGGCACGATGGCATCTTCGTATCCTTGCGCCAAAACGTGTCCAGAATCCGAGGTAATCGATCAAAATTGATCACTTTGTCGGCCCCATTGAGGCACTTCTGCTCATGCACGGAGTGGTGCTTTTTTTGCTTCTTGACATGCATTTCCAATGTGATTCCAATAATAAATAACTTGTGTGTGATTTAATTTAGATTTGTTTGACATTGATTTTGATATTTATTGCTATTTTTGACTAGTGCTCACAAAGGCGCTGGTCACTTTTTAACAATACAGATAAATTATCAATAAACAATTATTTTAATTGTTTATTATAATTTACATGAGTTACATAATTATTAAATTAATTTTTCGGTAGCAGGCCACTTGTAATGTGGGTAACAGGCTCCTGGTGACGTAGTAATAAGACTACCTTAACATCTGTACATAATCGATCGATATCGAAATGAATTATATGATCACCAACTTGAAGAAAAGGAAGAGAAGAGCAATCGTGGTGAATAAGGTAAACTAAGCAGACGTGTTTGTGAAAGAAATATAATTTAGTTTTGACTGCTACACTTCAGGACAAAAAATGGTTTAATTTTGCATCTTTGAATGTAAGTACATTTTGATAGTCAGTGCAAGTGCAGATAGTATCTTATATAGAATGTCAGTATTTATTTGGCTTGTAGCTTAATGCACTCTGGCCACATTTAATTTGTACTCATTTGCATTTTAGCGTTCCTGGGCATTATGTAAATGTACATCTAGCGCACTTTGCGGCGACCTCAAACTGAAAGTGTCACCTCAAAATGTCGTTGTGGATTCCTTGTCTGCCCTTTTTCAGCTACGAATAGGTTCGCATCAAATTTCTCGAAATTTGATGCAAAATATCAACAGCAAGCGACGAGCTGGACAGAGACCAAAATAAAATGCTGCTGCTGCTGGCGCTGCTCACTCTGCTCTCCATCAGGAACACCTTTTATGCTAAATATATTCCGGCAAGTTGGAGGCGGACAACAGCCATTTTGGGGTTGGCACAAGTGCACTTGGGCCACGGGCCTTAAGTGAAATGGCAACAACGTAATATTTCGGACAAAGATGAGCAAAAGGAAACGGAACATGGCACATTAAAAAACAAGAGCCAAGAACAACCAAACGGCTGGCCATAAGCGGCTTAATTCCAACGAGTGAGGGGGACGGCTGGGGTGGCAGATTTGGGGGTTTTAGTTAGCATTACTTTTTCAAAAATTCCACAGAGTTCTTCTGGGCAACCGAACTGTGGCCAACTGTTGTCGGACAATTCCAAATAAATTTGCATTGCAACAGAAAAGCAAAATGCCGCAACTAATTTGCAAGCAAACGAATGTGAGTTGTGTGTTCGTTTAGTCAAAGCAGCCAATAAATTGAAGAGAAGTGAATAACATAAATACATGGTACGAACACAAAATCAATTCAAAAATCCAATTACATGCAAGAGGTGTGTGCTGCAAATGCATCAAATGCTTATAATGAAATCAATTTTCAATCAAATTTTCACAGCATCAAACAGTCAAAAATCGAACAGTCGAACTCGAACTATTCGCCAGGGCCCATCCAAATTGACCAAAAAGTGTCCAACCGGGTGTATCTGTGTGTGTGAGTGTGTAAGGGTGTGAGAATTTGCCAGCTCGGTTTGCGCGTACGTTTTACGTTCGTAAAGGGCCAAGAGGACTTAACGGCCATTTTTTGTGCGCATTGTTTTGGACCCCAGCAGCAGCGGACACATTTGCACTTTTTGGGCATTAAAGGCAACAACATTTGCAGTTTTATTTTTTTGCTACCTCGTCTGCGGATGTGCTGCAAATTGAATTTCTGCCACGGGACATATTAAGTGATCGAACTCGCTCGAAGCGCCTACGGCTTTCGTGTGTTTTTTACATAAAAATATATGGTGTGCTAGGTGTAAGCAGAGCAAAAGGTAAAGACCAAAACCAACCAACAATCCACACACCCAGAATTGATCGAATAAGAGTGTGTGCAGTGAAGTCTATAAATATGTATATTGTTATATCTATATATTTATATATATATATGTACACATGTATGTATGCTTGTCTTTGAGTTGCATCGTGAATGGCACACAAAAAATGTTTATGCGACGTTTATACAACAGCGCAATTTGAATATTTTATGGATAAAATTCGATTTCGGCCATGCCCGGCACGTGCACTAAAAAGTTTTTGCATATGGAAATTGATTTCCTTTGGTGTCATGCCTTATGAATGCCCAGGTGTGTGCAGGTGTCCAGTTTGCCTGCCTGCCTGCCTGCCTGCCTGCCTGCCTGCCTGCCTGCCTGCCTGCCTGCCATTAGTTGGCCCCTAACTGTTTGGACAGTTGTCAAGAGCATAAAAACAAACGCAATTCGCACCTCTCTCCGATACCAAACAATTTCTTAAAGGATAATAAAACTAAGCAATTTATATGCAGAACGTGATGCAGAGCCAAAGCATTATTAAGCATACGACAAGTAGCACAAATTGAAAAAGACTCCAGAATATAGCCCTTGGTACATTTTTGATTTAGGATATTAGTTCTGGTTGAGTTCGAGTAGTATTTATTTGGGAAACTCGACTAGTAAAGTTTTTCACGAAAAATGTTCGTATACATATATCAAAATATATAGAAACTCTTGCAGTTTAATTATAACTTCAACAACTAAACCCATAAGCTGCTTCTAAAAAGCACTGTGCAGTTTGGTGTAGCCTAGCCCCTTGAGTCCCGTAGACCAGCATTCGAGTAAATATTGATAGTTTGCATTGCACAAAAACAGAGCATTTTGGTGAAATATTCGCGACTTGTTTTGCAATTGCTAACCAAAAATGTCACAACCCCGATTTGATTTGGCTTCCACTTTTTTTTTTATGTAGTGCAAACAGCTGTTCAGTGCGCCAAGTGCCAAATATTGAAAGCCGTTATGTAAAGCGAGGTAGTTGCATAAAATGTGGACAGTTGTGGGCTCATATAGACGAATCGCTAGAATTGCAACCAAAAGCGCATTGCAACAGTTTATTATATCATATGTCAAATGTGGCGAACGAAAGAGAGAGGGAGAAATAGAAAGAGAGAGAGGGGTAGTGAGCTCAAGTGGGCCAATGGAAATGCCCAGCGGTATAGTTTGGCATTTTTATTGAAATTTTCCAATTTATGCTCCGACTCGCTGTGCATTTAATAAAATGTCACACAATTTTATTTGTGGTTTTTATTTGTAGTTCTATTTTACTTCTTTTTTTTTTTTTTTGTATTCAGGTTGACATTAACGATTTGATAATTTACAATGCAAATTGTCAAATGCTGCAGTGGAGCTGTCAGAAATTTAGGGCATGATTTAGTGACAGCCTTCAATGCCTGAACTCGAATAAATGTCACAGAGTGTGACAGTTCTTTTTGGTCGCGAGTCTCGTTCAACTCGTTCAAAGTAAAAATAAAAATACTTAAATAAAAAATGTATGAGCTTAATAAAAGCGCTGCGACTAGAGGACTTTGTTGTTGGGCAAAACTCGCACGTTGTCGATTCCTTTTGGCTTTCGAGGCAGGCAGCCGCGACTTCAGATTTGTTTGTTGCTGCCACACACACACACACAGAGGAGAAACTTTGAAATCAGCAGCTACGTGCGTCAAAGCCAAAAAGCGCCAAGTTTATATCGTCGATGTTGTCGTTGCTATTACTTTGCAACTTCAAAAGACTTTCAGTTTATTTTTGTACATCTTTGCTGGCATTTTGTTATTTATTTTTCCTAATTTTTGTTTCCCCGCTTCGCAGTCTGCCTGCTGGCTTTTGGCCATGTCCTATTTAAGCGAATGGTTCGGAATTTAGCCAAAATAGAAATTATGCTTCAGTGTGGCAAATAATTTGGGCAATAATCAAATACAAAATCACAATAAATATCAAGTGAAACAGCAGCTTGAATTGCGTAATTAACTTGTTGCACGCTCCTTTTGGCTTGCAATCTGAGTCAATCTAATCGCATGTATCCGGCAAATAATACTGTGCCACAAATACTTGAGCGGGCATTAGTGGCAAATTAAAGAAAGCATAAACACGAAATCAGCACATGCGAACTTCACTAATGCCGTCCGCTTGTCCGCCTTTCAAATCTGCACATAAAAATTGTTAACGGAAGCGAAAATTAATTAAAGCCATGGACAAGGCCAAAGTACGCTCTGGCACGCAACTCTCCCAGCTGCAAGCAGCCACTCGGTGTGCGAGTTTGAGGGGGGAGTTGAGTGGGGTAGGGGCTTCCCAGTCCAGATGGGAGGCTGGAGGCTTCAAAATCAAAATATGAGCACCGTCCGCGAACGTTACGCGCTTTTAGACGTGCTCAAATATTTGCCAAACGTGTCAAAAGCGTAGCAAACTTTTCGCTTCAAAGCGTCGACCACCGTGCAACCACCACACCGCACCGCATCGCACCACAGCACCACCCTGCCAGCAGCAGTGAGAACAATTGATTGAACGTTGCTGGAGTGATAAAGTAGGTGTGGAATGGGGTAACAGGTCGTCCCAAATGTAGCTGGGACAGCAATGAGCAACCCTCTCCTATCTAGTAAGTGCACCTGAAGTCCTGTGCGCGGTCAGGCAAACAAATGATAAGCAGATAGTCGACCAATTGCGCTCGGAACACTGTAAAATAAACGCGCTGCAATTGCTACAAAAATCATAAAAATTATCAGAGCATTTTACCAACGACAGCAAGCTGACAAAAGCATTTTGATTCGATTACGCGCCATTACATTTACTCTGTTGTATTTGTTTCATTTTCTACACCTTTCATAAATCATGGCTCAATTTATCGCTGATGGCTGACATTTTGCGGACAGCTGCGGTTGTCATCCAAAAAGCGAATGTTTTAGTCTGACGTTTGTTAAGTGCTTAGATGAATCGCATACAATATTGACAGATGACGTGGGCCAAGCATTTTTGTAAGTGCAAGATTTTATCATTTATAAATTTTTAAAATAATTCTTAAACAAACTGTATTTGAGAAAGTAACTTACTACTTTTACATAGACATTAAAGAGTAGCTAAAGAAATGTGAAATTTTTGTATTAAATTTATTTATGAAATCAATCAAATATTCCATTAACAAATTCAAGTTTTAGTGAGTAGCAGGTATGCAGAAATATTTAAATAATGATAATTCTTAGGATATTCGCCACAAATATTTTGCGTAAAACAATAATTTTTGTTGTGAATTTTCGCAATAAATTCAGAGTTGAAATTGATTGAGTTATCAATTTGAATTGCTTGTAATGTTATTTCAAATGACTGTGCTTATCAAATAAAATTGGTAATCAATTTAAAAGAATTTGATTTATGTATGTTTTTAGTGAGCTATTTGCAAAATGGAGAAAAAGCTGGCATTTGGGAAGTGAACTTGGCAAACAAGTACTTGCTACTCTCTCTGTGTCTACAGACACATAATTAAAACTACGCAAAACTCAACCCGGGCACAATACAATATGAGCTGCGACGAGGACAACAACAACAACAAGAACAACAACCAGTAACAGATTAAACAAAAATCTGGCAAGTCGTAGTCGACAACTAGGAAAATGCTCGCGTAAGCAGTTTTCCGTTGCCGGGACAAGTTAATTTATGGCAGTCAGTGAACCAGGCAGATAGTACAGACTACAGACAAGAGGCAGCAGCCAGAGTAGAGGAAATGGACAACAACAACAACAACAAGAACAACTTGCAACATGGAACATGAAACAGCAACAACCACAGGCAAGAGCAACTCAAATGGCGGCTCGGCGTTCATTTTGTTTTACGCTGGAAACTGGATTTTATTTTATTTCTGTGCAATTTTTGTTGTTGTTGTTGTTGTTGGTTCGCTTTTTCTTCTTGTGCTCAAAACTTTTGCTAATTTGCGGTAATGTTAATGCTGAACTTTGCACAAAATTAGTCAAGTTCTGGCGCGTCGGATTAAGCGCAATGTTACGCCAAAGTGTTAAGTTGGAAATAAATGTTGACACTTGCGGTAAATGCGAGTTCTTGGGCCGCAACATAAACAAAAGCGCCGAACATTTTAAAAACGAACCAACCACGAACAATGCACACACACACACACACATACACACACATCAAGTCAGGCTGCATGAAATTAACTTTGTAACCACTCTGTCTCCCCCCTGAAAAGTAAAGTATTCCGTCACAGGTGTGCGCTACAACAACCCTTACTGCTCCACCCCTAACCTGAATGTGCCGGACTGCAGTTAATTATGAGTAAGTTGGCCATAACCGCAACACTTGCTCCTTGCAACAATTCCTTAGGCCGTGGACGACTTTGCCAGCAGTTGAGGCAAGGGCCTAGAGTGCTTGCCAAAGTATTTTGTGTGGCGAAATTAATTTATAAGTTTCGTCCGCGACAGGAGGCCAGGCAACCAGAAGGACTCTCTCACTCTCCGGGGCATTTGGCAACCAGGGACAAGTTTGGCGTGTTACGTGCCAAAGTTATGACACTCTTTGCCAAGTGCTCCACTGGACTGGAGGGGGCGTTCTAAAATTTATAAAGTGTCATATGTTATGAAATTTGCCGCCTGGGCGCTTTGCATAAAGTTAAGCCAAGTCAAATTATTTACGTAAAAAATTGCTACCAGAGAGAGAACTGTCACTGCTGACGATGACGACGACGACGACGACGACGACGACGATGACGGCGATGACTATGAGGGCGATGATACAATTATTGGTTTGTATGCGCACAATTTACATTCACATTACACGCACAGACACACGGAGTGGGAGAGGAGGGTGGTAGAGGCTTGTAATAAATCAAACCAAGTGAATAAATCATAACTGTGCACACACACACACACACACACACACAGTCGCACATACACTTCCACATATGGGATGTATGCATTTCATAGTCGCAGCTTGATACATGTGGAAAGTGAACGCGCCTCGCCACGAACAACGACAACATATGAAATAATGACATGAAAATTGACAATTTTATTCCTACTTAACTTGCTGAATGTGCGAATGAATATATCAAGCGTAAATGTGTCCCTCTCCCCTCCACCCACAGGCCTTCCTTCCCTATCTATGTGTGTGGGAGGGAGATATTTTATGCACAGTTTGACATGTGAGCGAATTGAAGCCAGAATGAATGTCAGTCAGAGTGACTAACTGAGTGATACAGTAACAGCTGTCAAAGTGTGAATGACACACAGATTGACACATGCACAGCTATACACACTCACACACACACTCACACACACACTCACATACACCCACTCGCTGGTTTGTGTTTTTTTTTTCTTATCTAGTAAATTGCCTATGATTTGCATATGCGGAAGTGTATTTAATGATATATATATTAAGCATATCCATATACCAGATCGCCAGCCACGAAACTGGCCTGCTTGCTGCCTGATTTCCATCGTTGACTAAGGTCATGTTTTATTACCCAAATCGAATTATTTTCCAAATAAGATTAGCATAATTTATATGCGACATAAATCAATACTTGTATTAAATAATGAAATATGATATAATGACCGTTCCCGGGTTGGGAACTGGCCGCCAGTCAATTGGTTTGCACATCTCGTGACACACAATAAACGTCATGTAAATAGATCCGCACTGACGCTGAATGATTCAATTAAATAATAGCCCACAATAATTGAAGTCTACAGAAGAAGTCTACAACTACATCGTCATCATCATGCATATTGCACCAGAAGCTGCGATCTGGATGCTCAGTAGCAAAATGAAGCGAGAACGCGACGCAACTCGTCGGCTCCATTGGGGCCAGTTCATTCCAGTTGCGATCGGGTTTGCAATCGGATATTTTATGATTGCCGCCAGTGCCGCACCGATGGTGGAGCAGCATTCAATAGTGGAGGATTTGTCAATCGTGGAGGAGATTGTCGACGCAGACACACAAACGGAAGTGGCTGTGGTCACGCTGTGTCCATTGTGCAACACCACCACCAGTGGAGAGGACAACGTCTCGAACAGTAGCAGCAGCAGTGAGAATGTCTCAGATGATTTGATATTTGCAACTCACAGAAAGCCAACTGAAACGACAACACAACAGCAGTTGCGTGAACCAGATCTGTTCTCCATCTCCGATGAGGTGGAGGAGGAAGACGAGGATGAGGATGAACAGCTGGAGGAAACAACTCCAGCTGGCCCCGTGACACCTATTGATATGAGTGCATTTTTGGAATTGATACCAGTGCCACATGTAAAGGCTTTAGTTGAAAATTACTTTCGACACGACAGATCGATTCGGCGGGCGCACATTTATTTTGCCAGCGATTTCTTTGCGGAGATTAAGCCGATAATAGTTGCACTGCCCGAAGTGATTGCCTTTACGGATTTTTTCAAGTCCCGTGGCTTGGATATATACAAATTTGCGGATTCTGTTGTGGAGGCAACAAAACCACCTCCATTGGTCATAAACAGCACAAAGGACGGCGGTGCGTATGAGTGATGAGTCTAATTTACCAAACATTATACAATCTCATAAGGAAAGCAAAAGGTTGATCAATTAATCCCTTGCAGAGGGTATTAAGGCTCAGTCCAAAAAGTTGAAGTATTCTTGATTTTTATCTACTTAAACATTGATCAATCTATTAAAACGGCTTAAAATATTGAAAGCGTCATGTTAACAACAAGTTCCTAATATATGAACATGATTAAGGGCGGTACTTGATAATCACAACCAAAATAATAACATTATAATAGTTTATATTATTATATATATTATTTCTGAATGAATTCGAGACATTTTAATGATTAAAATACTGCTTGCAATTAACATGATTTACCAAAAAGATACAGCTTATTGTAGAGTACATTAGAAAATATGTTTTCGGGCAGGTAAATATAAAATTGGCTCTATGCCTTATTCTACAAGAGCACAAGTTTGTCCCGACTCTTACCTATAACATATACTCCCTCACACATACACAATCTATCACAAATGCATGGACAGACATGACACAAACAAGCTGCAGCATAACTTCCAAGTCCAATGTCCGTTGTCCTTTGTCTGTTGTCTGTTGTCCATCGGTGTGCCTATGTGACGATGGCATTATGCTTAATATCATTGTCCCGCTGAGCTGGCAGCTTCAGCAACCTTATCAATGTTCACACATGCTCGGCTCGAAGAGCAGCAGGCGCAGCAGGAGCAGCAGGAGCAGCACCAGAAATGAATTGTTTGCAAATAGCTGCAAACTATGCAGACAAAGCCAAACGAAAAGCTTCCAAAATACGAGTTGGAAGAGGGACGTGTTGAATAGACAGAGAATGCAGTCTGCAGGAAATAGCATCATGTCATGTCTCTCCACTGGCCATGTGCATTTCATTTAATTAAATATTTTTGCCAGTTATTGACTTGCTTGAGTTTGACTTGCAGGCGTGATTAAGCCGTTTGCCCATGAGACAAACATCACAAAGTCGATGGGTGGATTTCATGGCTTGGTGGAGAGAGTGCTGGACTTGATGCCCCAGGATCAGGTGTTGGCCACGTTCTTCGATAAGACGGAAAATGATCCACAGTTCGCCCGGCTTGTCAACAGTATTGGCACGAAAAGGTTCTCGAAAATCTTAAGGAATCTTCTGGTGAGTCTGCCCCGCCCCGCCCACTAACTAATCTCATCTCCGGCACGTAGCTGAAATTCAAAAGGTGCGATCTAGTTCCTTTTTTTTTTTAAACAGTTATTGGGAAAAGGAAACAGCAGTCAGCACTCAGCAGTCGACAGACCGCGGCTGCCTAATAATTTTCCAGAAAGACGTGAGAAAAATTTCATAGCAGCATTTTATTGAGGGCCCAGTGCTTTATTACTTTCAGAGTATTTCGAGTGGCACATCTCTACTTTTTTTCTGCTTTTTTTCTGTTTTTTAGGGTACGAGCATATGTACTCTCATATACAAATCAACTTCCGACGGTTTGCGGCCGAGTTGCTCCTGCCCGAGTTTTCTTGCTGTGTATTTTAAAGCGAACTTTCCAAGTGCCAAGGCGTTTTTCTTCTAATTGGCAATTGAGCTGGCCTACGTGCGGCACATATTTATGAAATGGCTAGATGGCAGAAAGCAGAACGCGTTTGTTTTCCCTAATGCTCCATGGAGTCCTCGAAGGCAATTTATGTTTATGTGTGAAAATATGCCAATTGATTTGGCGTAAATGGAATGCCTATAATTGAAAAAAAAAAACCTGCGCATGTCGAGCTTAGGTGCAAAAGCACTCACGAGCCCCAATAAAATATACTTGATTAGAAATTATGTTGCCTTGACAAACAACCGCAGGGATACATTTGATATTTGATATTATATCACAGCAATTAACAAACAAGCCAGAATGCAATAGACTGAGTTTCTCGACTACCACTTGAAAATAACTTTGTTAAATATTAATGCTATTATGACTGTCTCTTATCGATATATATACACATAGACTGCCTAGAAATACAGAGACTTAATATTCTTTAATCTTGAATATTTTTTGTTGCATTTCTTTTCAGAAATCGAGGACAATTAAAAGTTTTATCTTGGAGTTGCACGATAATGGCATCAGCGTAAAACGAATTGTAGAAGTCTTCAAATCGTTTTTCTTTCTCTAGCAGTTTTGGGGAAAGAGATAAGATAGAATGGGAATGAGGAGTAAGACAAGGATTTGTATTTAATATATTTCTATCAATACTATGTAAACTACTGATAACTAAAAGTAAATTCACATTTTCTAAGAAAAGAAAGACAGATGCTAACTGGTCAAGGAAAAATGAAAGAAATGTAACGTTTTCATACCAATTCGAATTCGAGCATATGCCAGGCAATTATTTAGTTGGTATGCCTCTTGGGAATTGGCAATGGAATCTGGAGAGTGCAAAAGAAAACGGCGCATATTAATAACGCTTTCAGGCAGCAGGCAAAAAAAAAAAACACAGAGGGTTAAATGACGCAAAGGTGGTGGCTTTTGGTGCGTCAAAAGTTTATCTACGAAAAAAGTTGCAAATACTGAAGCTGCCTCTCTGATTTATGCCGCTTCGCCTGGCTGTGTCCCGGCTCGGTCCCGGGTTCCGGATCTCGGGTCCAGCCCCATTCCAGCCCCAGCCCCCCAGAGCAACTGCGTCGAAGTCAGCGCAACAGTTGCAACTCTCTTAATGTCGGCGTTTATTTGAATAAACTCAAACTTCTGATTTCACACAGGGAAGCCTGGCAAAAAGTTGAAAACTTTCTCGGTTAACTGATTTCTACACCAACACCTGCAGGCGAGCACCGAAAAAAAACGTAGCTGAATGTATGTATGTGCTCTCGCGCCCCCCAGGGGACTCATAATTTAGGTAGAGTATATCAATAAATTACGCATCCCGCTGCCAGCACTTTTTAAAGTAGATAAAATGACGCAGCCGCTGAAATTTGGAAATATATACTACGAACACTCTTTTTTTTTGCTTGTTTCATTTCATAAAATGAAATTGCTGCAGAGCTGTTTGCTGATCAAGAAGCACAACTCTGCAGCAACCCCCCTTTTGAGTCTATTACTGACCGGCTTTTGGTTGGGTGGTGGTTTTCATGTCCAACCATAACTCAATGCGGTCCAATTGATTGCCCTTTGGACCCGTCGCATCCCATCATCGGGCGGCAACGGCGCTGTAAACATGCAAGCCAACATAAGCTACGCGTCGTGCATCAGCTCCATTAATCAATTACAGACACACCCTCCACCAGTAGACGCCCCCTTTGCTGCAGTGTGCGACAATCACAACGTGTCACAGAAGTGTCTAAATTCAATCTGCACCAAAAACAACACAAAAAATATCAACAAAAAAAAAAAGAAAGAGAAGAAAACAACAGGAATCGTAATGTCGCCAAAGGAGCCCAAAATCCGTATCCGTCAATCTCAGCTGGCACCGAGCACCTGGGGAAAAAAACCGAGCGTTTCTCATTTTCATATGTCACTTTAGCAAATTTTTTGGGAAACATTTGAGAGTCTGTTAAATTGTTAAATTGTTGCTTTCTTTCTATTAAATTCACACAAAGTGCGCTTGCGGCAGCTGTTTAATCATATCGATTTTCGCATACATTTCGCGATTCGGGTGTATTGTAGGCTATGCAGTTGGTTGGTTATCTGGATAGCTCGCATACTGGCACTTCATCGAGTCCACCCAGCTGGGAGTGCACCAAGTCTATCAGTCTGCAGCAGTGCAGTCAAATTCAGGAGCGACTGCAAAATGATCTTCTAGCCTGCGATGCTCGACTCTCGCTCTTTGTGGCAGCTGCGAATAGTTATCGTTATGAGTCGCTTTTGCGCCCCTTTCCCAAGGAGTTTCTGGACGACGATCAACGTCCCGATATTGCTGCAATCCTTGATGTTGTGGCGGATATGGAACGCCTTGACACAATATTACGGCGACTGGTTAAGGGCAAAAGTGGCTGCCTTAAAGTCAACGAGCTGCATCTGCTGCATGCCGTGCTGGTGAGGCACGGGGAGCGTGTGGCAATCAGAACTCTGAGCGAATGCGAATTTGATGATTTGTTTCGGCTTATACAATTGGTGGCGCCACAAATGTTGCCCACGCACATCTTTGGGGTGACGCCCAGTATGAAATGTGGGCATACCAAACACTACGTCAATCTGCGCAAACAGTATCCCATTGGGATTGGTTACTACGGCGGCAAGCTGGAGCATCTGTATGCGATGCTGACCATGGGTAGTCTGCCCCTGGATGAGCCTCTCGAGCTGTACTGCGATGTGGAGGAGACCTTGAAGATGTGCCGACTTAGTACTGGTTGGGGTGGCTCTCGATGTGGTGCGATCTTGGGCTGTGTGGCGGTGGTGGAGTATGTGGTGTTGCCCAAACTTGTCTCGACGGATGAGAATCGTGGTCTTGTGATCATCAATGATGCCACCTGCATGCAAGTCTGCTATCTAATGTTCTTCGGCCAGAGTTTTCAGCAGTACGAGCATGCATTGATTTCGCAGCCAAGTTTGTCAATCAATTGGAATGAGACCTGCAAATGGATGGAGGACAATAGATATACCCTGTCGCTGGGCATTTACATGATGATCCTATCTCTGTCGGCGTCCAGCGGACGGGGCATCTTCCACAGATTTGCAGAGATTGGACTCTATGTGCTTAGGAGAGGATTTCTCAAGATTTGAAAACCTGTCTTCTCAACTGCGTTGTTGGCTTATATGAGCATTCTGTTGCCCATCTTGGTTGTGGCAAAGGACTGCTCATATAGGCCAAAAAAGCAGGTTCTTCGTGAAATTTTACTCAATGAAAGAATTAGCTTTAACTTTAAAACAATAAGCCAGGCAAGGCAACGAGCAAGTGTAAGTAAATGTTGGCATGAGTCGCACGCAACTGGCCATAAATAACAACAATTTAGCATTACAAGTGACGCAGTAAAAATTTATATGCTCTCGCACATTTTCAATTTTCTGCAATTTTTCTAGCAATTGTGTGAAATTCCTTGCGGCCATTGGGCTGCCGACTGCCTCCAGCTACAGTCTGCATAAAAAAGAAGGACATGGTCAGAGATTTGTATGTGCAAGTATGTAAGCACACACACACACACACACACACACACATATGAGCTGAGTGCAGGCAGTCTCTATCACAGACTAGCTGAATGCTGAACATACTGGAAACTTGGCATTATGTGTTGCCGGACACTTTTAGGGTCACACAATTTAGCAGCTTGGCTCTGGCAACATTTATTTTTCTTGCTTTTTTTTTATGGCGACCACAACTATGTCTGTTTGTGTGTGTGTGTGTGTGTGTGAGTGTGTGTTAAGGCATTTTTTTACATATGCTCGTCTAGTTGCTGTTGCTGCCTGCTACGAGCTATGCAGAGAATGCATTGGGCCCCTTCTCGCCATACATTGGCCAGCTACAAAAATAGTCTGGCGCTTGGAATCGTAACTTGCACTGACAAAAGCATTCGCGAAATACTTCTGTTAACCATATTTCATAGCATTTAAGTGTACGGCCTGCAATTACCGCCCCCAAACTAGGCATCTAGCAGCAAAGGCTATCAATTATTTGAACAAAAATTGGCCGGGAGCGAGAGAGAGTGCTATCATTACGCCCACCCCGCTTCGAGCTGTGCAAGTTCCCAGCAGCCATTAATAAACGCACACATCAAACTTGGCACTGTCACATTAAATTCAATTTAGTGCCTTTTATACTATGGCAGCAACAGCAACAACAACAAAGCAGCGTCGGAACTGGGCTAAGTCACAAAAAGGGCAGGCAACCCTCATCGCAAAGGTTTTTACGCAGCTAAGCTGAATGCACATTAGCATGAGCACGACTACAGGTTAACAGAAGACAGAGATCTCTGTGGAACTAGATGCCATGGGGGTGGCACGCACTTATGGCCGGAGTGTCGTAGCTTGGGCGCCCTGCCATGTTGCACTCGACCTGGAATCAAAATAAATGTCAACGCTGCCTGTCACACAAAGCAAACCCCCGCCTCTTCTTCCTTATTTCCCAGTTCGCGTTCGGGTTTTTTTTTTTTTTGTGGGTCTAAGTTTTTGACTTCCTTAATGACAGTGTGGCGACGATGATGATGACAACAATCAGGGCGACCACGAAGAAGGCAACAACAACGAAGACGCCGACGAGGACGAAGACGAAGACGAAGATGACGACGTCATCAATGCCATCAGCATCAGCTTCAGTATCAGTTCGAGCATCGTGCCACAAGTTGATGATGCAATTTAAGAGCTTTTTGGCTTCCCCTCAAGAACTGTGTTGCCGCTGGATGCTGGTTGCTGGCGCCATTCTTCGTTTTGATAATCTAACAAAATTGATAAGGTGTGAAATTCTTGATTTTATTTTCTACGTTCTGCACAAGAAAATCATTTTTCTTGCCAATTTCTTTTTGTCGGCTGTCCCCCTCGCAGTTCCCTTTTAGGCTACAAAATAAATAAAAAAAAAGAAAAGTGTTGCCTTTGATGTTTTTGATGAGGTGTTTGTTTAGTTTTTGATGTTGCCCATAAGACGACATTTTTGTTATAATTCAGCGCCGTTCCTCTATCACCTTTTGTCAGCGCTTTCCATTTACATTTTAAACGAAATTTAATCCAGTTTATGTTTTCCCAAACAAGAAAAAAGTGCCCAACGCAAGCAGCGACATTTGCTTTGTTGTCACTTTGAAATTTAAATAAACAAGGAAATTGACTTTGCAGCAATGATTTTCTTCAGACCTGGCAACTTGACTTACATATTTACGAATCTACGGCTATGCTCAATTTGTGTGCCAACTTCCTTTTTGATGTCCATTTTTATTTATTTTGCTTTTTTTTCTTGGTGAGTAGCGGTTGCAATTTTTCTTCTCAATTTTTTTCGAGGGAAACGCAGTCGAACATGCTTTCCAGGCTTAATTATCGGCCCGTCAATTGCACAAAGCGCCAGAAAAATGATTTAAACGTTGGTCAGCCATATATTTGTTCGTTCTGCAATCGAACGATCCGCACTCATCACTGAATGTATTCTTTCCTTCTCTCTTTTATATATATATGTATATATCTGTCTTCTCGCATTGTTGCAGAAAAAATGGTACAGAATTGTGGCCAAAAAATTGCAGCTGCTGCCGGCGATTGCTTTCAAATTGGCAGTAGCCACAGCCGTGTGCTGAATTTGGCAATGGGATTCGATGAGGAAACACAAATATGAATATCAAAGGCCTTACTTCAGTTTAGGAATCAACACGTTTTACAGATAGCTGCAAAAACGATACGCAGTTTAACTGCACTGGATTTCTAACTAAGCCTAAGTTTTTTGGCCATGTAACAATGGCTTTTTATGCATTTAAATTTATGCAGCAAAAAAGCGATCCGGTTGCCATGGGTGGAGAGCCTTTCTGGTTTAATTACTTAACAACACTTGAAGTACTCAAGCAAATTTCAAATAGCTTGTATCGCCACTCAATCGCTAACGTAATTTGCAAATTGACTGCTGGTCGAAATTTTGCAGAGCTCACAATTGCTGAGTGTGTGTCAAGTGACACGGCAGCCTCATGGTCGAATGGCTAACTGATTGTTTAATTATTGGAAATACGAACTGAATACGAGCTCAAAGGGCGTACTAAATGTAGGTATGTGTGTTTGGGTGTGCGGTAATAATCAACCAATCAGTGCATCAGCCGGCGACCGGCAAAGCAATAATGTGCATGCTTCAAATTCTGAAACTCTCGGTGGTCCATTGCTTAGTGACCACACACTCACATTGAGAGAGAGAAAAGGAGAGATAAAGAGAGAGAGAGAGAGAGAGAGAGAGAGAGAGAGAAAGGTATAGAAGGGGACTAGGATTGATTCAGAAGCTGTTGCTGTGGCAGCTTAACGTCAGCCACATGTGTTGAACAGATCAAAGTGTTCCCCTTTGACTCGCTTAAGTGCGCACAAAGGATAATGCCACAAAGGGTCACCAAGTGCATCTATCCTCCGAGTAGTCGATACTCCGATATTCCATTAAGTTAGCTTCTTCACACACACAAACACACAGACGGAGCTGCTTTTGTTAATTACGTATACGCTTAGTTAGCAGCTGTATTGCCAAATCTTAAGCAAACCAAACTCTTGCTAAATTAAATAAAGGATATTTAGGAATTCAATTTCTGTGTTGCCAATTTTGCAAGTTCACTGTTTTAAATTTAATTAAATGGCCGACTTAATTTTAACGCGAATTAATTAGTTTTTATATTGAATGAATAATGAAAATATACAAAAATAAATTAATCACCAAAAAATAATATGCGAAACTAGGTTAAAATAGTGTAATTTGATATTCGACGTTTAAACAACCCAATTCAAGTAAATTGATAGTGCAATGTCACATTCGATTCTCTCTCGATACTTTTCCAAAATAAATACTAAACAAAACCAATATTGGTGTGGTTATACCAAACGAATTCATAAAGTTTTTGGATTAAATGAGATTAGACAATCCATGACCACTCATATACAAACATAAATACGTATGTGTATGTATATATATCTATGTATTTATTCTCTGTCGCTTTATGTGAATTTTGCACAATATGCACATTTTCAATTGTTATTATCGATGTAGTGGTGCGTGACCGTGGTTGCAGAGAGGGGAGCCACGGTGTGGCCCGCATCTGTGCTGCTGACTTGTTGATTTTATGTGTGCGTTGCGTGCCCGCATGACATTTGCAACTGTTGATTTCTCGTACTCGCTCTCGCTCGGCTCTGGGCCAGGCCCAGAATCAGTGCAATTGAATTGAAGCGTAAATCGTAAATTATGCAATGCGCTGATAGTCGAATTTGGAACGCTTATGTTGTCACTTTGCAATTGTATCGATGCATTTCGCAAATGTCAATGCAATTCAAAAACCATAGTTTTAACTTTTATCTCTTGCTCAGTGCGAGAGTTATCGCAGATATCAGAAACTGTACGTTTACAAAATGAAATGAAATGAAATCTGTGGCCACTTCAAATCACAGGTAATCGAATAAATATTTCAGTTATAGGATTATATAACGAAATGGAAAATTACGTGTTAGAAACCGACAATGGCAATGTTGTGGAAAGTATAATGTCAAATCATTTGGCTCCAGGTTATGGCTTGACTTGACTTGACACCAAACACCAAATTAAAGTTGAATATTTGAATCAAAAAGAGATTTAATAATTCCAATTTTATATTATATCAATTCTGAGACTCATTATAAATCAAAATACACTATTTGGATAGCGTTCACAACCCTGGGTTTTAACAAGCCCTCAAAGTAACTCAAAGCCACTGCATAGTTGTTTTTGTATGCGTGATAATGTTGAGAGTTAAGTAAATTTTGTCACATTTGACAACACGTTAAAACAGCAAGACTGCGGCTAAGCCAAGACGAGGAAAGGAGGGGGAGATGCAACAACAGCAAAGAGCAGACACTGCTGAAAAGTAGAAGTTAGTGGCATGAACTTCGCTGCTGCACAAGATAAACAATGCAAACCGCAGACAAATGAGTGATGGCATATATGTAAGTAAGAACACTAGTGTCGAGTCGAGTCGAGCGCACCATGGGTAAAAACTGAGCACGAAATGCACATTGCCAGGGCAAACGCGAACGCGTCGACGACAGGTTAAAAAGAGCCAGCAGCGCTGCAAAGTATGCAATACAAATTCAGAGCGCAACGCAAAGAAGACGACGGGCTCATCTAGCGTGCGAGGCGAGTATGACGTTGTCGTCAGCTGCAGCAATGTAATTTGTGGCATAGTGCGTATTACACACTCATACACACACACACACACATACACACATACAGAGAGAGCCGCCACTAAGTGAGTGAGTGATTTGCCAGACAACGAGACTTGAAGGCAAAATGTTAAATGACGATGCCAGCGACAGCATGTGTGTGTGTGTGTGAGTGTGTGTGTGTGTGTGTGTGTGTGTGTGTGTGTGTGTGTGTGTGTGTGT